AATATTCATCTAACATTATATAAATATGTATATTAGTGTATTACTTTTATATTAGCCGAAATGGTCCTTTATTATAAATCTGATCAAATTTAAAATAAAGAACTATTCAAGCAATTCACAAGATGAACTTTTTTTTTTAATTTTATATAATTTTTTACTAAATGTGTTTTATTCCAATATATATTTTATGTTTTATAGTTGTTAGCATATAAAAATAACATATAAAAATATTTAAATGGCATGTATTTCCAGTTTAACGACATTACGTACGAAAAACTTCTATTATTATGAAAATTTATGTCCATAATTATTACAAATCTGATTATTATTGTTATTTTTTTATTATTTTTATATTATTAGGGAGTGGTAAATTTTATAAGAACCATACCTTTCAAATCATTTCAATGTAGAGATTTATTGTTTTATTTTGAATTCAATTCTTAAAACATTTTGTGATTAATCATTATGATTAAAGAAATTACAATATTGATCAATTATAAACAAAATATTTTTAAAATACAATATTTATTTAATGAAGAAGCTTGATATACTTTTATTTGACTCTAGTCAATGTGCGATTATTTATTATTATTATTTTTTAAATGTTCAATTTTTCCCAATTTATTTGAACATTTCATTTTATTTATCTAAATTAATATTCATATATTAATAAATTCTTTATAAGTGTAATACGTATAATATAATATTTGTTATAAATATATTATTATAAGGTAGAATTATTGCTTATCCAAAACGAATATAAATATATAAATCGTAAGAATTTTTAATAAAAAAATTTTATTTAGTAGGTACGTTTTATTTAGACCTCGGTGTTTAAATATATTTTTACTGGACAGAACGCGAATTTTCAATTCGCTCATTTTTCATACATTTCTCTAGCAACTTTCTTCTTTTAAAAACAAACTATTAAAATATTGGTTTAAGTATTATTAAATATATTCTAGCAAATAACAGTTAAAAAACAGTGTATCCCAAAATTTTGTGAAACTCTTACAAAATATCACCAATAAAAACCCTAATTTAATTGGTTTCTACAACATTCATTATCTATTCTTAGTGTAGGATATGTAAGAAACACTATACCCAAAGTCTAGCGTGTTTGCTGTTAACAAGGTCTTGTGTATTGTATATTATTATATATTTTATATAATTATATATATATATTAAAATTTATTTTTGTTAGTAACTTATTCATAATATTCCATATTTCTACGTGGTGAAGGTAAGCCATTGCTATTCTGTGAATCGGTTTTCTTTAATATTGAAACATGATGTCCAGTACTTTCACCTGAACGATTTGGACCAGCAAAAATTGAGTCTTGTTTATTGAGTAAACCTCGCTTCTGATCTGCAAATGATATAACAGAGTCCTGCTTAACAAGTTGATGTCTACGTGGTTCTAAGATCCAAAGAGAGAATACATAACTACAATTTAATAATAATAAAAAAAAATAAAATTAATTGAATTACCTGGGCGTTGATCCACAAATGAAAGCACAGAATCTTGTTTCACAAATTTTTGACGTTTGTATTCTAAAACTGAACTAATGGTAGGAGAACCGGCATTGATACCACGTCTAGAATCATTTGATATGCATTCTTGGGAAGTGGCAAAGCTGTCTTGAGAACGATCTTGATTGTGTGTAATTTGAGTTGAGCGTTTTATTTCTATATTATAGGAACCATTACTATCTTGTTGGCATAAAAGTCGTCTAGATCCATCACTTGATGCACTCTCCTGTTTGATCAGAAGTTGTCGAGAACCATGTGAATCTTGTTTGAGTAACATTTGTTGCGAAAGATTGCTGTCTTGTTTTACTATAAGATTATGTCTACGCAAGGAATTATGTTCGTATATGTAGGAAACATTATTTTTACGTAGACCGGGACTGCTAGGACTCTTGCGAGAACCATTGTGATGATAATGAGAAGATTTGCGTGTACTCGTTGTTGAAGAGACTATGGCAACATTATCATAATATCTATAACATGTTATAATTTATTTTAATAAATTGTATTGTTATTAAAAAATTCAATCATTTTAAAGAATAGTAGTTAAACATAAAAAATCATAAATAAATTTTTTAAATAACATGTTATGTTAAACTTAAATATTGATAAGAAAATATTAGTATTTTTAAAAACTATTATCATATCAATAATGATTGCTACAAATAATAGGAAGGAGGAGTGTCAATGGAACAGAAACACAGGCAATTTCTTTATAACAGATCTTTTGTGACGATTTTTAAACTATATATACAATATAACGAATATTTACGTACCTTAAACGTCCACAGCAGGATCGTGACTTAATAATAGCGGCAAAGCCTCGGCGGTATTTTTTATTGAAAAATGCATATAATATTGGGTTGATGCAAGAATTGGATGAACCTAACCATTGTGCGAAAGGTGTAACCTTGTTAAGTATTTCACTTTCCTCTATAGAGATTTCTCCGCCTAATAGAGGTATTAATACATTTTCATATATTTATTTAATATACTAACTATCCAATATATATATATAGTAAATATGTTGTAAAAATTTTATATTATCATCAACTATTACAAAAATCAACCATTTAAATAATTAAATATTTCAGTTCTCAACAATATTTTGATTTCTGCAATATAAGTTTATGATCTTACCAAATTTTATTCTAGCGAAGATGACGTAGAGTGGCAGCCAAGAGAGAACAAATAGTATTACGACAGCAACAAGCATTTTAATAACTTTCACTTTAGACTTTTGTTGCATGCGATCCATTTGTGCATCTTTAGAGTCACCTGGTATAGAACGTGTTGAGACTTTTATCCATATAAGTACGTAGCATAAGGTTATGAGTGACATAGGTAACAAATAGCAAGCTACTAAATGTGCTAATAGAAAATATAAATTGCCATTGGTTCCAGGAGGCCATACTTCTATAATCAGTAGTTGTAATTAAAGAAATAAGGAAAACCAATTAAATAAATTATCTTGATTAAATTTGTATTAACCATAGATAATTACCTTGACATAGATATAAATCCGGTGCTGCCGGAAATGATTCTGCTGCTGGTACCAAATCAAAGAATAAAACCCAAGGTATAGTGGTGCCAAAAGCAATAACCCATATACAGAATATCATAAAGCGAGCACGACTTTTTGTCATTTGCTTCAATGGCCACCAGATGGCAATAAACCTAAGAAAATTAATATAAAAATAAATGTAATAGGTAATATGATATAAATCACAACCTGAACAAATGTTTTTTAAAATGGCAAACTTGATATACAATGACATCATTATAGTTTTTAATAAGTATGTATAGAATATGATAGAGTTTTGGACTTCCATTGGAACGAGAAAAGAATAAATTTACATATACTAAAACCCTTAGTTATGGTAAAATGAATCGTAGTTAAAAAAAAAAAAATTATCAAGCACCTAAATGCAATATTACCCTGAATTAATTATGGAGATCTTTGAGATCTTTCGTTATATGATAGTTCAGTTAGGTAGCAGTGGCGTCCCTTGTGCACAAAGCCAATATGACCTCAAATAATGGCCCGTTGTGATAACACCGATTAGCGTTGTTCATATGCTAACAATGACTCCCCCATTCAAGTGAAAGTAAACTAATATGAGAAGTCTATAAAATTGGCCAAACCTCCAACTTTACAGGGTGACAATTCGGTCAGGTCGTTTTTATGCGACCTTTCGCGTTTCTTGTCTAGATTGAAGCAGAATGACCAATCTAACAGAACGGTTCATCTACCCAAGTTTGTATAGCTACTATATGCTCAGATATAGAATTGTGATAAAAATATTACTTATATATCTATCACTAGTAATAAATATTAATATGTATATTATAGGGGTATTTACATAGGTTTCTAGAGTAAATCTAGAGTAACTAGAGTATGCAGCGTAGAAACAGTTTTACTAATCAAGTCATTGAATAAAGTCTTAAAGATCGGTGGTACTCGTACCAATATGTTAGAGGATAAGCTGGAAAATATAAGTATTGTATGAATTATCAAACGATTGTTAAACTGATTGACTACATAATGTTGTCTATTACTTTTTTTGCCAATAGGTTTACCAATCTCTACTTGTCAAGCTCAAGCATGAAACTAACTGAGTTTCTTAAAATAATTCAACATGTCATAAGATTTAACGGGTTTCTCGGCAATAATTAACTGGTAATACAAATGTCGTTCACAATCGAGTAGGCATCGCTGATGTTAAAAAAAAAACTGTAAGTTAATTGATTTAAAACTATGTGATGACTTTTTGAGGTGATGTAAATTTGTATTCATCAAGCAGATTACCATGATAAGCAAATTTTGATATTAATACAATGAGATTTATAGATTTAGATACATACGTTCATACATATGAAACTGTCGATTTTAATTGGAATATTTCGATTCTATGAAATGCAAATATTGTGATTTTTTCGAAATACTCTACTTGGTCAAGGAATGTAACAAATTATTTAACAAGATGAACTTGATCTTGTACGCGAAAAAATTAATATTTATAATAAAATGCGTTAACGCATATTGAAACCTTCTTAATAACAACAAAACAAAAAATATCAATATATATATATATGTATATGTATATAACTTTATGTATGCACATATGTAAGTGCATATGAACAAATTTTATATTTGCGTAAATATGTTTAGAGTAAATTTTTGAAATTTGCTACATTGAAAAGCTGTAAATCTCCTTGAGTGCCACCAACTGCGAGCGCTATTTGCCAGTCAACGTTTGCGTTATTATAAGGTTAACCTTTAGCTGAGTTGATATATAAATTAATTAAAATAGAAAAATAATGCATAAATACATATTTGAAATTAATTCTAAAACTCGTAAATTCAAATTCTGACTATAAAAGCATTTGATTCATGACAGAACGCAATCAGTTGCGAAATATTAGCGTTTAATAAAAACTTTAATTAAAATATTTTTGTAAATAAACAACAAACAATAAACAATCAGGATGTTCAAAATTGTACGTATTTGTTGTAGTTGCATTACAGGACATTTTGCATAAACATTTTTAAATTTTTGTTGCAGTTGTTGTTGCTTTCCGCTGTTTTCGCCTACACTTATGCTGGTGTTGTAGTGGCTCCCGCCGTGCCAGTAGTACATCATGTACATGGCGCAGTTCATCACCCCCCAATAGTGCATCATAAGGCACATGCAGTTCACTCGTAAGTAACGTTTAACATATTTAAGATTTAGCACAGAGTACAGAATGATTCCACTACAACTAATAATATTTCTTATATTTACGTAGTCATGTCATTCATCATCCCGCTCCTGTGGTGAAGTCTGTTGTTGTGGCTAAACCAGTAGTACCTGTAGTTCCTGTAGTGAAATCAGTTGTCCCAGTAGTACCGGTTCATCACGCTCATCACGCTGTTGTCGCCCATCATTAAAGCGGATTATTAGAGAAAAACATGTATAACATGTGTAACTTCTATGTATACAATTATGAGTATTTTACCAACTGTGGTGACATAAATTTCACCAGCATTAGACATTTTTTCCCAAAAAGTTTATAAAATGCCCTTCTTCCTGAATAAATTCCAAAATGAAAAAAGTTTTCAAGTTCTTTCGCAACAATGTCAAGGTTGTTATAGGCTACGTTTTACTATGGGTCAAGTGCAATCATGGTTGCGCAATTATCAATAGCATTACCTGTCGAGTGAGACTGCAATGAGGCTGTAAACGGAGGCAGCTACAGATACTCCTTGAATGTATGGAACCGTTTTACACATCAACCAGCCAAGCATCCAAGCTGCAATAGAAAAGTACCAAATTAGAAAAATAAAATAAAAATATATAAATGCCATTAAATTGTTAAAAACAAGTAAGGCAAAGGCAAAAAAGTGGTTATTTGCTGTTTGAGATGTTAAACATGCCGCCAATTTCTCTGGCTCAACTCAACTCAAGAGCAATTAACTCTATTTTGCATCTGTGCATCTGTGCTGCAACCATGACAAGGTTCTTTCTGATTTTTGAAGGTTGGCCGTGTTTGTAAAAAGCTGACATTGGTCTGTTCGATTAAAAAAATTTGTACTTCTTGTTTCTACACAAAATATTTAAGGAGATAAACGCACATTCAAGAGGCAGGGAAGCTTAAGTGTAAGCATCACTCTCAAGCATCCTTATGTGCCGCGCGCATTTTAATAAGGCTGTGTAGGAGAGTGTAGGAGAGATGTGAAAGGTCAAAGTCAATTGATAAATTCGAGGGAAAAAAATGTTTGCCACATATGGAAAATAGTGCGTTGTTAGCACTGTTAAGACAGTGTTTTTGTAGAATATACTGTTTGTCAGCTCACATTTCATAAGATTTGCAAATGATAAAAAAACTGAAAAGTTTAGCTTTCATTCGGCAATTTTTAACTACCTTTGCATAACCAAAATAAATTTGCAATGATTTAATTGTTCTTTTTTTCTTGATGAAGAGCAGATTAGTGTCTAAAGCACTTTTAATCAATAGTGGCTGTGACCACTTGAGTGATCCACTCTACCAAGAGCTAAGCTAGATTAAATTATCATAATAAGTTATTTTAATGAATTTACAAAAGTATATAGTCTGAAAATCAACTTATCTACCTGATGGAATAAATAGTACATTTGATTTAAGAGAGTGCAATTCTGAATTAGAGTATACATCCATAAAATTAGACAATTTAAGCCCTCTGCCTTTGATATACTTTTACACAGTTTTCATTTTGAAGTCTTTATGTACATCTTCGTTTCTGATATACCATTTCTGAGCTTTTGAAGCAGAATTTAAAGTTTTCTAATGGTGGATGAAGCAGTATTGCAATAAAAAACAGAATATTTCAGTATTTCTTACAAAACAGAATATTATTTTTCACACTCAACTTTTCTTGGGTTAATAGTTTCAGAGCATTCAGAGTTATTTTACAAGCCAATCCATTTATTCTCTATCCTGTCAAACGTAAGACCTAGATATTTTACACTATTTTCCCATTTAAATTCTACATGTAATCAGTATTATTCGAAACAAACTGGCAACTCGAATACATAATTTAGGACCAGAAATTTTATTGGATGATTGTAGTCAATCATTACATACATTTGTGAATTTTATTGTCCTTGAACTTGATTTCTACGTTTAGTAATGTATATAGCCTTCGTTTCTTAAAATTTGCTCTATTTCGCTACTTTCGAAAGTACCTCATTATCTTATCAATTAGAAGTTGTGAATTTCACAACAGAATTAGCATTTTTGTCCACTTGTATAATGCTGGTGTTGTCAGCACAGAGCAAAATTGTGTTATTAGATTCCTGACCAAAATCTGTTGTATTTAAATAATACAATAAAGAAAAGATAGTGGGGATCGTTGAGGGACGATCGCTTTTATTTTTTTCAAAAATTTATTAAAAAATAAAATTAATTACGATATACTAGATCAAAATCCATACGCAGAATATCGCACATCTTTAGCAAACATCTGTGCACTCTTACTAGGTACTATATCACCTGCAAACTTAATCCAAATAAAACGTCAGCAATTGCACTAACGGGGAGGCACTAACAACTCTATTCCTCATATATTCCAGATTGTTAAGTACTCCTCTTTTTGGCACATCCAACTCAAAAACGCCCTGCTCAGGTATAAACTACTCTACATTAAAACTACTTTGCTACAATCACTCTTTATTCAAATGCTTGAATATGAAATGTTTGAAATGTTTGTGTGCTTTTGAGAGGAGTGTAGTTCGTGACATGTGTTACCTACAAATACAAGCCCAACGGTCAACACCATAATTAGCATAATCTCCCACTGATATTCTGCATTCTTAGAAGTTTCACACTGAGATCCTCTAAGTTTCGCCGCACATTTAGGTTGTTCAATTGCGGATATAGAAATTCGCTCCATAGAATACACTCTTGAAGAGTGTTAAACTTTTCTAGACTCCTATAATTAACGTATATTATGTTCTAGCTCCTAGAACATCTTGGTCTTGCGGACAAGACCATTTTGCAACACCACAAATTTATATGATATGGTTGAATATGTTTGATATGTTTATTTGTCTTTCTTTATTCTTAATTCGTATGGATGTCATACGAATAATTTTGTTTTGGTTGATGGTTTTGTTTTCGTACCAAAATCTTATACAGATTGTATTATTGTCAAAAATATTATTTTAAGTGTATTTTCTTTAAATAAATACATTTTCAAATCAAAAAAATTAAATTCTATTGATTTAATTCAGTTTATTATACAAAACTCAATATCGTATTATATTCTTACATAACAGCCTGTTTATTTATTTGTTTATATTTAGTGCTATCAATTTGTTGACTTGACTATGTTGAAAATATTGTGTACATGTTAGAAGGCTTGCTGAAGAACTCATTGAGCAAAATATTTAGGTCAATTTATCGAGCCGCAAATAACCCTGAGTGTCAACCGTTAACAACCTTCCAAACTGTTTTAAGGCTGAAGCTGTGCTTAGATAACAACACAACAAAAACATTAGCAGTGCCATTACTCTTATCATTACCAATCACCTTCTCTTCTTCTCACATGTTACTCATAAAACACCATCTCCACAAAACACACCACACCACACCGCCATTGTCATCGTCATCGGCATTACCATCACTAACGCCAACGCTACACTAAATAGTGCATTTTATACCATAATAATGTAAACAAAGTGGTTTATATAAATATTTACTTTTTCGCGTATATCCTTTTGTATGCATTTATATACTCATACATACATACATATATATAATAGAAGTATGCATAAATAAGAAATAGACACTAGTTAAAATATTTATGCATAAAAGTGACTTTGATTTCTATTTCAAAAGTAGAGCCAATGTAGTAAAATTTATTGAAAGTTTATATCATTTTTGCCATCAACAATCTAGTCATTGTGTTTCTTTCTTTATTTCTTAACTCAAGTAACCTTAAAAGCACTTGACGACTTGTTGGTGCCTTGCAAACGTAGCACATGTTTACTTACAATGCACACAGGCTGCAACCCAATAAGTGGAAAATAGAAATTTTATTCTATAAAGCAAAAAAACAAAACCAAAAACAAAAACAAAAAAGAACATAACTAATAGTCACAGTATTGTACTCTCTTCGTCAACCACCTGAGACAAGACCCCACACACACACTAATATATCGCACAAACGCACAACTACAAATTGCTCTTAACAAACACTTTTACCAACATTAAATCAACAAACAACCTTATTCCACCCATTGACCTACAAAAGTTATGCCACACACAACACATATAACATACACACAACTTAGTATACAAACACGTACAAAAACAAATAAAAACGTTTATATCGTAACACTCATACATATACATTTGTAAACCTTGCGCCTAAGTTGAAATTGCGAAATTAGGTCAGTACTGTGTCGATGATCCTTTTGGCCTATGCAAAGGATGCCACTAAAATTCGTATACAAGCGCACTATAGCACCTATACTTATAAACCTTCATAAACATTTGTGCAAACATGCATACAAAATGTGCAGAGCTTTTATTTTCACCACACAACAGAAGAGCAAAGTAAAAACAAAAAAAAAACAAAAAAGTATAAAGAAGAAAGAAGAAAGAAATCAACCCTCAACCATGTTTAACTTGATTTTTGAAAAAAATGGTAGAAAATTTTATCAACAACTACAAAAACAACTACATACATGAACGCCTAAAGTTTTGAAATTGCAAAAAGTTTAAGTTTACTTGTGGGTTACGCGAATAACAAATACTCGTATACATCGAATTATTAATTCTTTTTTCATCAATTTATTTAAAATTGGTTGTAATT